ATTCTTAAAGAAACACTCCTGGTAATGGCTCATGATATGTGCAATGTGTAGGTTAGGTTACAGTTAATTATAACTATTTTTACTTACCAGATAATATATCCACTGTTTCAGCCTCTCTCTCCAAACATTCTGTGTTTCAATTTTTACTCCAAAAATAATTCTGAACCAGACCCTTCTGAAAGTTGTAGTTCTGCTGCTAGAGTTCTACAATTGATTGATGACAACTGAACTCAAATTCCCAGAAACCTTTGCTGTGCCCATAGAACATGACTAATGGATAAACTCAGCAATGGTATGGAAAGCCAACTGCTCACTGCGATTGACAATCATTTCATGCAAATTATAGGGATTTTTATAATGCTTTATCATTCAGTATAATGAATTAAAAGAAGAATAAGCCATCTCGGGTATTCCTTTAAATCAGACCTGTCTCTTCTCTGAAAGTGATATACCAATCCACTTTAGTCCTGACACAGCCAAGGCATACAATGCAAATGAAGAGGAGAACAGAAATGTTGTTACTATGTTCAGTGGCAGAAAAGGGCAACGCTTATACCAAAGATTGATACGGAACCAAGATGGAGGGGCCCAATTTCAGGATAGAAGTAAATAGAGCAGTGTGCAATTCTACATTTAATTTTATTCTTCCAACTTCATAAACTCATATTTGGTAAATACAGGGGATACGTAAATATACTATTTAAAATCCTGGGAATTGAAAGTTCTCCATTAAGACAAAATAATTCCTTAGTTGAAGTATAATTTTCATTAGTCAGTCTGAGCTAATGCAAAAATCACACACAGTCACTATAAAATGTATTTATTGTGAAACCATTTGTAGGAGTATAGCGCCACCTGCTGCCCTGTGGCTTTTACTGATAAATGGAATGTGTGAAAGTGGTTACAATGTATACACTGTTACAGAATGCCTAGTGTTTTCCAAGCTTGAATTACTTACATTTGATATATGTTTCCTGTATGAGTGTAATATTTTAATATATATTGACAATGGTTAAGAAATATAAGACGTGATCATGTTATTTTGCTGTAAATATTTACATAGTAATCTAGGCTGAAAAAAGTATTTTAAATTCATCAAGTTCAGCTTTTAAAACCTATTCCTTTATCAAAAAGAAGGCAAAAAAAATCCAATTGTAATGATTTCCAATTTAAAAAAAAAAATACTTTTTTAACTTAATAATGTTACAACTGTATTTTGATAAGCATGTATGTTTCTCCTACTTTGCAAATATTGCAATTAAATTATTTTAGGCATTCATTATATGACCTACGCTGTCCCATTGTGGTCCGCAATCTAAGGAGTTAAATGAACACTATAGTCACCTAAACAACTTTAGCTTAATGAAGCCGTTTTAGTGTATAGATCATGCTTCTCAGGTTTCACTGCTCAATTCACTGCCATTTAGGAGTTAAATCACTTTGTTTCAGTTTATGCAGCCCTAGCCACACCTCCCCTGGCTATGATTGACACAGCCTGCATGGAAAAAAAACAAAACTGGTTTCAGTTTCAATCATATGTAATTTACCTGAAACAATTTTATCTCTTTCTCTGTAAATTGAACTTTAATCACATACAGGAGACTCTTGTAGGGTCTAGCAGGCTATTAACATAGCAGGGGATAAAAAAAAATCTACATTAAACAGAACTAGCAATGAAGAAAGGATAAACGTTAGATGACTCTTTACAGGAAGTGTTTATGGAAGGCTGTGCAAGTCACATGCAGGGAAGTGTGACTAAGGTTCATAAACAAAGGGATTTAACTCCTAAAAGGCAGATAATTGAGCAGTGAGACTGCAGGTACATGATCTATACACCAAAACTGCTTCATTAAGCTAAAGTTGTTTTGGTGACTGGAGTGTCCCCTTAAACTCTTTTTGAGCGGTTTGACTTGCTGGGCTCAGTTCCCTGCCTCCACTACTTATGCCAGAGAATTTGCGTTAGCTGACTGCTCACAGAGTGTACCTTTAATGCTCTGTATTAAATAGTGAACATTCTTAGCATGGTGTATTTGTGCATGTGACAGATTGGTCTTATGGGTCTGCAGGAGAACGAGAAAGCAAAGTTGCTATCCTATATCCAACACTCCAGCATTATATATAAATATGATTATGTATTACATTGGAGTGTTGTATTATTACAGTTAAAGTTATTGGTTGTGCAGGTATAAAGTTAAATTGCAAATGAGCATTAAAAACTCAATGTCGATAGTAAAGGAGAACATTATATTTATATAATTATTACCACTATGGGAACTAAAATCAATCAAAACACACAGCACCATGAAAAGAATTTCCCTCCAGCAAGCCAACCAGCGTCTTTGGTGACAATTGACAAAATATATATATATATATACAGAATTGACAAAATATATATATATATATATATATATATATATATATACAGAATTCTATGTAACAAGAATAACACTGACTTTGCTTGAAGAGATGCTCATGTGGGTCTGTGCTGTGTATGTTTTAACCCCTTAAGGACCAAACTTCTGTAATAAAAGGCAATCATGACATGTCACACATGTCATGTGTCCTTAACCCCATAACGCCGTTACGGCATTCTATGCCGTCCCGCATTAAAGGGGCTTTAAAGCCGTTGCGGCTGCATAGAACGCCGTGACGGCTTTCAGCCCCTGGAGGTCCAGTGGATTTACCTCCGCCGCGATCCTCTTCTGGAGGGCTGCCTGACAGCCCAGGCAGCCCTCCCCCGGTAAATGAGGCCCCCTGTGGATCTGCCAGCAGGGGAACTGCCTGAAATGTCAGACAGTCCCCCTGCTGGTGGGAAAGTAAAAAAAAAAAAAGAATTAAACGTGTAAAATTTTAATAAATGTATTTTTATATATATAATATAGGTACATATATAATATAATATAATATATATATATATATATATATATAACATAGATATATACACATATATTTTATATATATATATACACGTATAATTACAATAATAAATAAAATAAATAAAATATTGAAACAAACTGTAATATAAATTATATATTCATATGTAATTGCATTCTAACTGTATTTTGTTATTAATATATACATATATTGGTAACAAAATACACTTAGAATGACATTCTATATATATCTATCTATAAAATACAAATAACCGCAAATATATATATAGATAAATACATATAATTACATAAAAGATTAGTATACACGTAGAATTTAAATACCTATAAATGCATATATATTAAAATTCTATGTGTATATTTAAGTAATCTTTTAACATAATTATGTGATTTGATTAATTAAAATTTGATTGACATGCCTGACAACACAGGGAGAAAGTGCAGAGAATTTAATTGGCAAGCACTATATTTGACCCTGTAACTCTCCAAGACACCATAAAACCTGTACATAAGGGATACTGTTTTACTCGGTAAACTTCGCTGAACTCAAATATTAGTGTTTCAAACTGGTAAAGTGTATTACAACGATGATATTTATAAGTAAAAGTGAAGTTTTTTGCATTTTTTACAAACAAACGGCACTTTTATGGACTATATTATTGTTGTAATATGTTTTACTGTTTTAAAACACTAATATTTGTGTTTAGTGAAGTCTCCTGAGAATAACAGTTCCCCCAATGTACAGGTTTTATGGTGTTTTGGAAAGTTAGAGAGTCACATATAAGGCTTGCATTTCATTTTTTTGACAAATGTTGCCTTTTGAGAGCGTATAGTAGCCCAGGAATGAGAATTACCCCCCATGATGGCATACCATTTGCAAAAGTAGACAACCCAAGGTATTGCAAGTGGAGTATGTCCAGTCTTTCTTAGTAGCCACTTAGTCACAAACACTGGCCAAATATTTGTTTTTTTTGCTTTTTTCACACAAAAACAAATATGAATGCTAACTTTGGCCAGTGTTTGTGAATAAGTGGCTACTAAAAAAGACTAAACATACCCCACTTTCAATACCTTGGGTTGTCTACTTTTTCAAATGGTATGCCATTATGGGGGTAATTCTCATTCCTGGACTACCATACGGTCTCAAAGGTAACATTACTAATCTGGCAAATTTCAATTTGAAAATGTAATGTGCTATATTTGACCCTGTAACATTCCAAAACACCATAAAACCTGTTAATGGGGGGTACTGTTGTACTCGTGAGACATCGCTGATTACAAATATGTGCATTTTTTTTGCAGTAAAACCTAACAGTATTATGACATTAACAGCTAAAATGTCAGACGGAAATACACATTTAAAAAAAAAAAAATCTTATTTGCTCAATTTTTTTTAAATTTTATTCATAATAAATTATGTTCCATATATGAATAGTTAATGATAAATTAAAGCCTGATTTCTCCTGAACAAAATGATATATAATAAGTGTGGGTGTGCTTAATGTGACAGCGGTGAATTACGGTTGAACAGACATATAACGCAACTTCCAGTTTTCGTTTACGTTTTGTTTTGATCAGAACGTGTACTATTGACTCCGTCCTGAAGGGGTTAAGAGGTTAAGGTTATTCGTTCCTATCTTTAATGCAATGACATGCAGGATCCTTCTCACGGCTCTGCACTTGCCACTGGGTGATCATCAATACTCAGAATCTCCTGGTCAATCCAGCATCAACTAATTTCTCTATATTCATTGCGCACGTACAACTCTTATGGGTGTCTGCAGGTGGTGTACCAGCTGTGTCTAGCCACAATATAATGCAGGTCAGCTTTGACTTACCTACCTCCATTCAGGCACCTATCTGCACAAATAGTAATTAACATTTCTTATTATCTGGTTGCTGATAAAGAGCATGCAAATGATCTATCTGTATATACACCTAGTTATAACTGTAAAGGGGCACTTCCCAGGATTTTTAAACGTATGTTTATGTAGCCGCATATTTAACAAATATGTATTTTTGAGATGTGATAAATAAACTAAACTTGATATTTGTTTAACATTGGGTGTTTCACCGGGAGAAAAAAGTAAAGATTATGGTAAAGAATACATGTTTGTGGATCAAGGCAGAGAGAATAATAGAGAGGACGAGAGCTTTGAGAACGATGATGGGATCACTGGCACAGATACCAATGGTAATGGGATAAATGACACAGATACCAATGGTAATGGGATAAATGACACAGATACCAATGGTAATGGGATAAATGGCACAGCTACTGATGGTAATGGAATCAATGGCACAGATACTGATGGTAATGGGAGCAATGACACAGATACCGATGGTAATGGGATCAATGACACAGAGACCAATGATAATGGGAAAAGGTGGGAAATGGATCAAGGACATGAAAAATTATGGGATAAACAGTAGACAAGAAATTTCGGTTCTTCTGAATAATTATTTCCAAAGATAAAAAATGAGTTTGGATGTCAGTTTGGTCTGCCTGAATGTCGATTCAGAAACCGAAACAGAAGACGAAAACAAAAAAGGCGCGACAAGGCGTCAATCAGTGTGCCATGATATATATACATAATATGATATTATGTACAGTTGTCATCACAATTATTCATACAAAGGCAATTAAAATATCTCAACACAATGAATGTTTCAAGTGGTTTCTCCAAATTCAAATGAAAATGCAACTTATAATAATTTTTCCAGTTCAAAATCATTCAACGTTCAGAATAGAATCCTGCACAACAGCACAAATATGCAAAACAGGTATAGTCTCAAGCAAACCTGATGCAACTAATCAAGGGCTCCATTAGTTGCACCAGGTGTGCTTGACCTGGAACACTTGAAATATCTGAACTGGCTAGGGATTTGTTGAGAGTCACGTTTGACTGCATATTAGATATATAAGTCAAGAATGGTCCAAAAAGTTAAGACAAGAGATTATTTCCTTACACAAACAAAGGACAGCATATAATACAATAGCAAAGGCACTGAATGTTCCTTAAGACACCATTGGAATAGCATGGCATGGAATTGCATAGTTTGCAAGTTCAAAGTTGAAGGAACAGTAGTTACACTACCAGGACAGGGCAGAAAAGGGAAGCTATCTATGGCTGCAACCAGATTTCTGAGTATTTAAAAGGGTATCCACATAGTGTTTTAGCTGCTATTATTCAGTTACTTTTCACTATCTATTTATTTCACACACATTATCTGGCTTGATGAACGGAAACCCGGAATGGAGTAATTACAATGTTAAATGTCCAAGACAAACTAATCCATATAGTGTGAAACCAGAGTCAAAGCAGTCCATGGGGTCAAAATCCAGACAGCAAGGTTCAGTAGCTGACACAATCCAAGGGTTAGAAAATCCAGAAAGGCAGAGAAATATAGAAAGTTCACTGATAAACAGCACAGAACAATTGAGCAATGATATGTTTAAATATGGCACCTATCAGAGGCCATGCCTCATCTGACACACCTCTGTACCACCCCTTTACTTTTGTGGCTGTCAGGGGGCTTGGGGTTGCCATGGGAGTCTGAGGGGATATGTTATTTGTAGCTGCACCACTTGTGATGTCTTGTGGCCTGGTTTGAGAGTGCATATCTTCCAGACGTCTTGTGTTGCCTAGGGAATATGACCAGAATTTGGATCGGAAGTCGTAGCCTGCACCCATTATTCAAACATGTGCAAGTTCAGCCGGCTGTGGTCCGGATGTGCCAACAAAACAGCGAGGGAGCTGAACCAAGTCGTGACACACATTATTTTCACTTGTGTTCTTCACTACCATAGATTGTGTTTATTGTAGCAGCATTGCCATGGAGTGTTCTTTTGACACTGGAATGAGTCTAACCCAGAATGTATTGTGTAATATCCGTGAGCTAATTTTACAATTAAAGAATAGGCCATCAAGCTCACGGTCAGAAGTAGAATTTGGGTCCATAACAAAGAATGTTTAAGTAGCATTGATATAGAAAACTGTGGGTAAAGGAATCATGTTGAAACTTGATGGAAGACAAGAGGCAATGTTGTAGAAGGGAGTTTTTTGACGAGGAGATAACGGTGGCACCTACCGTATATACTCGTGTATAAGTCGATCTCGTGTATAAGTCAGTGCAGTTTTGTGACCAACAATTGTGAAATATGCTATGGCTCGTGGATAAATCGAGGGTAAAACTTGGGGCTATGAAATTCTGTTATTTTTATAATTATAGACACACACACTCATACAAACACACACTCTGCATTATATACACACACACTCATACAAACACACACTCTGCATTATATACACACATACTCATACAAACACACACACTCATACAAACACACACTCTGCATTATATACACACACACTCATACAAACACACACTCCACATTATATACACACACACTCATACAAACACACACTCTGCATTATATACACACACACTCATACAAACACACACACTCTGCATTATATACACACACACTCATACAAACACACACACTCTGCATTATATACACACACACCCTGTCAGCTCCCATTGTAAATCTCGCGGTCTGTGTGCTGTGCAGAGCGTTGCCACGGTAACCCATGGCAACGCTCTGACGGCCGCGGGTCTCGCAAGACTTACACTGGGAGCTGACAGGGGAGCCGCACGGAGCTGTAAAGGTAAGTAAACGCTTCCTGCCGCCCCCCAACAAGACCGCCCGGTGGTCCTGGTCTGTATTATGGCTATGTAAGTTCCCATAATACAGACAGTGACTCGAGTATAAGTCGAGTGGGGGTTTTTCGACTTATACTCGAGTATATACGGTAGTCAGAAAAAAACCCATAGGCATACAATGATACATAGTGGGAACAGGTTCCATGGAGAGAGAGAGCAAGAACAACATGAATGATGGGGAGATAGAAGAAGAGGATTGTTAAAGATGGGAAGCAGAGGGGAAATGGAAACAAGGATATAGAATCTTAAACAGAAAATAGAGGGTTATGGAAGGCCAACATGAGGCATATAATAGCACAAATAATACGTAACAGAATGAAGTTTGTGTTGGAAAAAAGCTGGAAACCTGGTCTCCATCCAGCAAAGAACATATACGAGTTATTGGTTTCCTCTGTTTGGCCTTTAATGTCATCAATATCTGTAATGAAATGGCGGGTTTAGAACGTTACGGATAAATGTCATTGACTTTAAATACAATTCTTGCTTTAACTCCGATACATTCTAGGGATATATTATATTTTAATTAGGATTTGGAACGTCATATATATATAAATATATACACATGGCATGCTCTTTATAACACATTTTAATCTCTTTCAGTGCTCCGGAACATAAAATCAATAAACCTTCTCTGCTATGTTTGCCCAATGAACTATGCTACATCTGTTTTATTTGCCCGATTGATTTAATATTCGCTTTAACCTATTTTTAACACCTTCTATACCGAGTTCAGTCCCTGTGGAACAGTAAATAAAACATAGCATTTATTATGATCTCTTTATTTAGATCTTCAATTACAGGAGTAATAAAATGACTAAACCATTCAATACAGATGGATGAATGAGAGAACAGGAACCTGCATAAAGTAGTTTTATGAGGAAATATGATTTCTTTGGAATTTACAGCATTGATTAAAACATAAGAAATTACCGATAACTTAACCTTTTTCATGGGGTGTGATGCAATATTTCTTTCACATTTATAGTAAAGATTTAGCAAAATACATCTGCCTTCTTGGCTGACATCATCAGATCTGAGCCAATATACTGCTTTCCCGTAGGAACGGATTGGATTGGCTGAGATTGCCAAGCGGGGGTGGAGAGCAGAGCCAAAATCTGCCCTGGCCAATCAGCATGTCCTGATAGAGAGGCATAGAGTGCCATGTACAAAGGATAGGGTTTATAACAATGATTGACAGGGAGCTAAGATGGAGGTAACTATGTGCAGAATAGCGCATTTCAATATTCAACTTTATTTTGACACCTCACCAAATATACATATTTGTTAAATACAGGTATCAGTGAAGACTTGTCTGTAGAGACACCTGAGGCCCAGTCCCACCAGTCTTTATGTGGGGAAAAATAATTATTTGCAGTAGTTTAGGACCATTAAGATTTTTTTTTTCTGGAGATACCATTGCAAATATTAATATAGTGCCAACATATTCTAAAGCGCTGTACAATAGGATAAAGACAAACATTTAAAGGATCACTATAGGCACCCAGACCACTTCAGCTCAATGAAGTGGTCTGGGTGCCAGGTCCACCTAGGATTAACCCTTCCTGCTGTAAACATAGCAGTTTCAGAGAAACTGCTATGTTTACATATGGGTTAATCCAGCCTCTAGTGGCTGTCTCATTCACGCTTCTCACTGTGATTTTCAGCGTCCATAGGAAAGCATTGGGAATGCTTTCCTATGGACTGGCTGAATGCGCTCGCAGCTCTTGCCGCGCATGCGCATTCAGCCAATGACGTCGGAAGGAGGAGGAGAGTCCCCAGCACAGAGGGAGCCCTGCGCCGAAGAAAGGTGAGTGTTGACCCTCAGGGCACTATAGTGCCAGGAAAACGAGTTTGTTTTCCTGGCACTATAGTGGTCCTTTAATTCCAACAACACATGGAATATATGGAAACTTTAGGTGAAGAGGGCCCTGCCCCAAATAGCTAACAATTTAATGGTAATGGGGTAAGCCCAAAAATATGGAAAAAAATAAGAATCTCTTTAATTCAGTAATAGGATTCTGTACTGTAGGACCCCTTCCCTTGTTTGGTGACTGTCTGTAGAAGCTTTCTTGAGAGAAACTGGGCATGTACAATAACAAACTAAAAAATGGACAGAAATCTGCCCTGTTTCAGCATGTTGTGCACATGCCTAGTCTCCTTTAAAAAGTAATTTTAGGAGCCTCCCATTTAGTCACCATTCGGGCAGCAGTGCCAGCTGCCCAAGAGGGGAGGCATGCTATTGGTCCCTGTGTCAGAAGCTGTTATTGGCTTTAAAGAACCAGGAGGTGGGGTTACAATACCAAAAGGAGAGAAAAACAAGGAGCCCTCTTGGAAGTAGCTCACAGAGAGAGCACAGCTGCAGCAGCTCCTGATCCCTGCCAAATATAATATTATATTTTTCTCTCCTCAAATAGCTTCAGTATTTGCCTGATATCTGATTAAGCAAGGGAAATATATATTTAAAGCACTGGGTATCTTGGCATGGCACGTAGTACTGTTACTGATTTTTTTAAAAATCTGGTTATGCATCATGGGAATTGTCATCCTACAATAGTTTGGGGTCTACATTTTGCTTCCCCTTGTCCGATGCAAGAGGAAGAAGGAGAGATCTACACAAGCCAATGGACAGCTCTAACGTTATGATTGACACATTATTTGGTTTATTTACTTTGTGAATCTGTCATATGGTGATTACTAAAATATAT